TAATCCCAGGGGACCTAGCCCCAAGCAAGGCGGCCCCTAGCCTCCCGGTCAATGCCCTCTCCTCCATTCCCAGTTTGGAAGGCCCAGCTATCCACACAGAGGGAGTCGTGGGCCGTGCCTGCTAGAATCTCAGGGCCTGCAGTGTGGGCGAGGACCTTTACACCCTAAGTCCACAAATGCCCCCCGCCCCCAGGCCTGCCACATGCCTAGCACTGCGCCTCGCTCTGGGATGCCCCCTGGTGCCCCTTGTTCATCTGAGTCTCTGCCTCTGTCCTTCTGGCTGTCTGGGTCAGGGCAGGAGGTTTGGGACAAGGTAGGAGGAGGTGTGTCACAGAAGGCCTCAGTCAGCCCCCCGGCTCCACAGCCCCGTCTGGAGGTCCTGGGTGGGTAAATCCCTCAAATGCTCGCATTACCCTCCCACTCGGCAGTGATGCCCGTCTCTAGACAGGTCGCCCTCATGAATCTAAATTGGCAGTGAGGGTGCAGGCATCTCTGCCACCCACAGGCATCTCCAGCACAACCTCTTCAAATGAAATCTAATCAGATGGCTACACGTAAGAAAACATATATGCAAACTGTCACCTGATAAATACTAAACAGCCTTTAAAACATGAACAATGTCCATACATGGAACTACGCCCACTGACTGAAAATGCAGAGCACCAAACAGAAGGCATGCACCAATCATTATCCTGTGTAAAATTCACTCGGCCACCAGGGGCGGAAATGACTCCTGTGATAGTCAATCAACTAGAATTTGATGGACACAAAGTTCTTTTGATCTATAAGGCTAAGTGAATAGTTTCTAATGGGTCTCTGATACAAACCCATTTCCTCTCCATTTATCTTAAAATCGAATTGAAACCAGAGCCTAAAAGACAGCGGGGCCCAGACGGGCAGGGGTAGCTGAGCAGATGGGACCACGACACTCACCCTCCAAGCTGCCTTCAGGTGCAGCCAAGCCACGGCCCTGCTCCCGGGAGGTGCCAGCTCCAGGCTGCTAGCTCATGACAAAGACTGAGCATCCTGACGCACAGGAGAGCTCTGCAGGCCCCCATAGGCCCCCAGGAGAGGTGCTCGGGGGCTCCGGCTAATGAAGCTCCAGCCAGTGTTTGGCACCAACATGGCATCACAGGGGAGGGGCGCGAGGGGGAACCAGAGAAGATCAAGGACTGCCGGCCCTGAAGGAGGTGACAATTCCTTCTCAATCTTGTTGGGGTGACACACGGTAGGAGGCCACGTGGGTGCCCTATATGCTGGGGGAAGTCATCGGGTAACTGCGGTGACGGCAACTTGCTCATCCATTAGGAAAACTAGGTTAGATGCACGTGCAGAGCGCAAAGGATCCCAAAATACAGGGCCGAGAGGGAAAGTCAGGAATAGAATGAGCTGTAAAACAGGGTACCTCCTAGGTAAATTAAAAACATGTACAGTTTCAAGAAACCATCACAGCCAGCGGAGCCTAAGGAGGCAGGATACCTATAAGTAATGTGGCATCTGGGATGCGATCCGGCACAGAAAAAGGATAGGAGGTAGAAGCTAAATAAATCTGAATAGAGATTTTAGTTAATGATAGTATATCAATACTGGTTCATTAATTGTGATAAAGGTACCATATTAATGCAGGGGCACCTGGATGGCTCAGTCGGTTAAGTGTCGGCTCAAGTCATGATCTCACGGTCGTGAGATTGATCTCCATGCTGGGCGTGGAGTCTGCTTAAGATTTTTCCTCTCCCTCTCCCTCTCCCTCTCCCTCTCCCTCTCCCTCTTCCTCTCCCTTTCCCTCTCCCTCTCCTTCTCTCAAAAAAGAAAGAAAGAAAGAAAGAAAGAAAGAAAGAAAGAAAGAAAAGAAAAGAAAAGAAAAGAAAAGAAAGTACCGTATTAATATAGATGTTAATAGTAGAGGAAACTGGGTACGGAGTAGATGGAAACTCTCCGTCCAATTTTTCTGTAAATCTGAAACTGTTCTAAACAATAAAGTCCGCTTTTTAAATGAAAAACTTGCATAAAGCAAGAACAGCGCCAGGGCACTTGCTGGGATGAGCACTGGGTGTTGTATGGAAACCAATTTGACAATAAATTATATTTAACAAAAATAAAAAAAATTAAAACATTAAAAAAATTTAAAAGGCAAGAACAGCACCATCCACTCCCCCAGGAACATACTGCACTGGAACGACTGCCTGTGGAGGGAACAGGCAAGTATCAAGGCGGGCGTTCAAGTACATGACGCGAGGGTCCTCCCTGTACGCCAATGGTGATAATGTGCCACGACTGACAAGTGCCATTAACCTAACGCTTTGCATCAGAGGTCCCAAAACTAACAATGATTAATTTTCAGAAAAGAGAGAGAGAGAGAGAGACAAAACTGCAGGAGAGTAGGTCACAAAGGCCACATGAGTGGAGGGGGCTCTGGGTTGCTGAGTGACCTGGAGGGGTCTCGTGCGGCAAAAGAGTTAAACAGGCTTTGAAGCTGGGGTGGGGGGCCGGGGGTGTGGAGGTTGGCGCTTTGTGCTGGTTGCAGACCAGGGATGACCATCCAGGACACGCTCCATGCCCCCATCTAACACTGGTCAGTCCCAAGAGCTATTTCTGGGCCCTCCGAATTCCCAGCCAAAGCCAGGAAAACCTAAATGGAACCTGCTGGTGGGCAGCAAAGCTGGGCAGTGATAGAATAGTCGTAAGAGTTGCCAGGGCAGTTATATTCGAATTTCAGATCAGCCACAAATAATTTTTTTAGGATTAGGTATATCCCAAATATTGCATGGGACATACTTATACTAAAAACGGATTTGCTGTTGATCTGACATTCAAATGTAACTAGCCATCTTGAATCTGCTAAATCTGGCAACTCTAATTAATAACAGTAGTGACATGCACTATTACTGTCCTAAGTACTTAATTTACTTCTCTTGTTTTCCTCTTCAAACAACCTCCTGAAGAATACATCGCTACCCCCTTTTTACAGACATGGAAACTTGGACGCCAGACCTGGGATGTGAACATCTGTGCAAAGAGATCTTGAACATGATGCTGTGCCCCAACTAAGTGGCTGAACAAGGCCCAGGCCTCTGCTCCCTGACACCCAGAGACAGGTGTGTCCACAGTGGTGGTACCAAGCTCCTTGCATGGTCTTCAAAACACATTACCACCTGAAAAACCTTCCCACCAGACCCAATTCATCAAGTGAACTTTGGGTTTCAAAAAGGGAAAATCAAGGGAGCCCCAATGAGTCCTAAAAGAGTACAATCTTCCTGCATTGGTGGAAAGAACAAGGAGGGAAGCAGTTCCTACTTTGAGGGTCTAGATAGGCAGCACACATCAGCAGGGCAAGGGTCGGAGCCGAGCCGCATGCCATCCCTCCTGGAGACAGAGAAATGGATGAATGACCCCTGGCAGTCCTGTCCAGCTTGGGGACAGTATTAACTTGAGTGCTACAAAACAAGTTTCTAATGAGAATGGCACCCCACCCCTCAGCATGACTCATATTTAAAATAATACTAAGGAGCATTTATTGAGCACCTACTATGTATTGCACATTGTGCCAAATGTTTTCACTGCCCATCAATTGCTGGGGCATGTAAACCTACAGTCCAGCAGGGCATTTGCCTATTTTGCAGATGAGGAACCTGAGATACAGGGAGATCACTTATTTATTCAACTACATGACTTTACTGTTCAGACTCTGTCCTGAGTGCTGAGGATGCAGAAGTGAACCAAACAAGACCCCTGCCTTCATGAAGCTGGTTGGGGCGCAGATAAAAAAACAAATCTAGGGGCGCCTGGGTGGCGCAGTCGGTTAAGCGTCCGACTTCAGCCAGGTCACGATCTCGCGGTCCGTGAGTTCGAGCCCCGCGTCGGGCTCTGGGCTGATGGCTCAGAGCCTGGAGCCTGTTTCCGATTCTGTGTCTCCCTCTCTCTCTGCCCCTCCCCCGTTCATGCTCTGTCTCTCTCTGTCCCAAAAATAAATAAAAAAAACGTTGAAAAAAAAAATTTTTTTTAAAAATAAAAAAATAAAAAAAACAAATCTATTATGTTGTTTCAGGTAGCAGTGCCAAGTGTGATGAAGAAAAGTAAAGCATGGTCAAGGAACAGAGTGATAGGGTGGGAGTATTTTAGCTAGGATGGTCACGAAGATGTCTGGAAAGAGGTGACATTTAGGCAGAGGTCTGAAGTGAGGGACTGAGCATGCCCAGGTCTGCGGAGGGTGCCCAAGGCAGAGGGGACAATCAGTGCAAAGGCCCTGAGGTAAAGGTGACCGACACACAACCAAGATAATGCCAATGGGCTGGAGGAGGTACAAGAAGGTGGGAGGGGTAGAAGATGAGTTCAGAGGGGATGGTTAGGCCAAGTCATCTTTAAAGGATCACTGTGATATGAAGAAATGGATGGATGGATGGATCCAAGAATGGATGGTCGGATGGACAGATGGATATGTAGATAAATGGACTTCCATGGATTCCTTTAGGCTGCTACTGACCAGGGATGAGAATATATGTAGCTCACAAGTTGTAAAATATGTCCAATGTTCAGTTTCCAATTAATCATCTCCCTCAGAGGGCCTCAGGCAAGCACATTTCCTTAGTGAAGTATATGCCCTAGAGAGGAATTTGATCCAAAGTTGCACAGGCAATCTGGGTCTTCATTCCAAGGAAACCATTTGAAGAAACCAAGGCAAGGCAGAAATGTCTTGCCTCCAATCTCTAGGCCAATGCCCACAGAACAGGCTGGACATCACCATCACTGCCTTCACCACCTGGGACTCCCCTAGGCAGAGGCACCAGCTATACCAATGCTCTTCCTCAAGTCTTTGAACAAGAAAATCTTGTATGCTCATCAGATTTAAAAAAAAAAAAAAAAAAAAAAAAAAAAAAAAAAAAAAAAACCACGCCACCTGCCAGAACAAAGCCAACACTCCCGGCAGGTGACACTGGTCACCAGGGCCCCAGTCCTGCAAGGCCATCCCATCCCACGACCCTTTACCACCTGCTCAGCCTCACCTCCACATCCTTCTCGAGCTCGAGCCCGGCCTCCATCAGGTTGTGCTCAAACTCCTCCCGCTGTTCCTTCCTCTCCTCCTCCAGGGCATCAAGTGGTCCCAGTTCAATGTCACCATGGCCACCAGCACGAGGTTCCTTGCCCGTCTCCCCATTGGAGACAATCGCCAGTGAGGGGCCAGGGGAGCCATGGCCAGGGTGCACCCCGCGTTTCCGGTAATGGTAGGCGAGCACATAGTCAACCTTCCTCTGGTTGTCATGGAAGTGCATGCGGCTCAGACGGGCCTCCGAGGACACTGGCTCGTTGGCGTCCAGGTAGTTATTGATGACCTGGCCAGAGAGAACGGGACAGAGACAGAGAGGTCCAGTGAGGAGGAGTGAGAGATGGAGGAGGCTGACCCTGTGCTCTGGGCCCAGGGCGGTGGACTAGGAGGCAAGGCCCTCAGGCCCAGTGAAAGGACACAGCGGCCTAAATCCTTCCACCATACCCAACCCACTCAGCCCTCCACCCACATGTACACAGCCTGGACACCGATGCCTTCACTCCTGCCCTGGCATCCGTGCACACACGTATGCTCACATGCACAGACGACACGTGCAGCAGCAAAGCCCTGTGCTTCCGCACCTGCCTGCACACCAGAGCCATGAGCCACCCCTGCACACGCACACACAGCATCCACACACAGCACCTCTGCACCAGCTCTCCTGCACCCATCTGTGCACAAGTGCACTCTGGCACACGCAGCCCTCCACATGCACGGTAACACACCCACGCACACTCATCTCCTTGCAGATCCACCGGCCTGCCTACAAACGCATGCACGCTTACACACACAGATTACTCACTGGCAAGTTCTCTGGATCCATTGCAACAAGGGCCAGTTTCTTGTCACCCGGCCCACCCCAGCCCCACCCCACGGGGATTCACTCTACACTATGCCCCTTCACAGCCCCACATCCTCCTCCTCCTCCTCTGCAGCCACCAGTGGGGACAGCAGCAGGGGGACTGACTTCTGCTCCCGACCAGCCTGGAGGTGGGAGGTTGAGAGAAGAGGAGGGGAAAGAACAAGGCGGAGCAGGCGAGGGACCTGCCTCCCTCCCTTTGGGCGTCTCCCTGTTTATTACTGGTTTGGTACCCGCTGCCTCTGCAGCCACCTGGGAGGTCATCTGGGCAACCAGATGAAGCGCCAGCCACAGGGGAGAGCCTCAGAGCCACCACGGCAAAGGTCTGGTTCCTCAGACCTGTGAGGGGAGCCAAGGAGTCTGCAGACCAACAGGTGGGTTCACGTGGCCTCACACCTCCCTCTCCCTGTCCTCTGACCACAAGACTCCAGCATAGTCGGGACACTGTGCCACCATGACTTGGAGAGAGAGAGGAAAAGGCCCTAAGAAAAACCCTGGAGATCTCTCTCTTTCTCTCTCTCTCTCTCTCTCTCTCTCTCTCTCTCTCTCTCACACACACACACACACACACACACACACACACACACACACACACCCCTGTCCCCCAGGTGGAGAGTGTCTCAGTCAAGAGGCTCCCTTTGGGCCCCCAACAGGGCCAGCCTTTACCCCACCCCAGCACTCACCGAGCTGCCACAGGAGCTCCCTCCACCGGAGGGCGGGCCAGAATCTCGGTCATGGTCGGAACTGCCCTGCGGACCCCGGGCTTGGGAACCGGGAACCTTGAGGTATTGCTGGCCACGTTTGGGGCCCTGGCCACCTCTGGCCACTGCCCGAGGGCTCAGCCGGCGTGGGGAGCCAGGGAGCAGGGGGATATCTGTGAGAGGAAGAGACAAAAGAGGCAAAGCAGCTTCAGGTGACAGAAAACCCAGGACACAGAGAAATTGAGGCACTGATGGGAGGGGAACTGGGATGTCCCTAAGAAAAAGGCCACATCTCCTCACAGCCTTGGTTAACCAGGGGGGAAGAGGGTCTCAGCCGCTATATACACACGCATGCACACACGCACGCACACTGGGCATGGAGCCACCAGCAGGAGCCCCTTCAGATGATGGGTGTCATAACCTCTTATAATTCCCAAACAAGAGAAGGTGGCTCCGGCGAGCCAGGGTAAGTGGAGCACTCCTTGGAGAGACACCTTGAATTAATGCCAAAGTCTTGAGTTTGGGGGCCTCTCCCAGGGCAGCCAGGCAGCCCTCATGGCCCGAGGAGAGAGCAGAGAGGAAGACAGACCAACTGTGGGGCCCCTGAGGGCAGGGCCGGGCTCTGACAAAAGCACTGCCTCCAATGTCCTTGAGGGGTTCCCATGCACCTGCTGCCCCCACAGGGGCCTCGGAGCTCCACAGCCCCTTCTGGGCCCTCCCCAGAACAGTCCCCGAACAACCCACAGCGGGAGCAGCAGTGCTATTTCAGGGAACTTCCAGCTTCACCCCTGGAGGGAAAAGACCCAGGCTGCTGACAGAATTGCAGAATGTCACAACTGGAGGGGACTGAAGCATTAAACACTCCGCTTTGCACCAAAAAGCCCCAGGCCGGGGCCATGAGCTAGCTGCCAGGGCCTTGAGGCTGATGAGACTCGATCTGTCCCTGCGTCTGAGAAATACTCTCTCCAGCAAAGCAGCAAACCCAGTGCGCCTGGGCCTAACCCTGAGCTCTGCCACTTGCTCTGAGACTTCTCTGAGCCTGTTTCTTCAACTGCAACATGAGAATCCCACACTTGCAGGGTTGTAGTGAGAATCCAAAGCAGAGATGTACATGCGAAACACCCAGGGCAGTCATCAGCCCATGGGTGGGCAATAAAAGGTGCTTATTATAATTATTATTATTTTCATTTTGAGCTCCGTGTAAGAAGAAATCATACCATATACATCCAGCTCAGCCCTCAGCACCTACTGAATGAATGAAGGAACAAAAAGCAGCTGGAAGGAGAGCTTCTGATCAGTGACCAGCTTGTAGAGCAGCCCCTTAGGTGCCCAGCTCTCTGAAGGACAGTTCAGGAGCCCTAGGACACTTGGTCCCTACATTGGAAAATCTTATCATCTCTTTATGAGGACAGACCTGGCAGGTAGGAAGCACAATGAAGACCAGCAGAGGAAAGCTCTCATAATTTACTTCTACACTTGTGGGCTCTAGTCCGTATTGTGGAAGACCAGAAAGGCTAGAAGGCTTCCTGAGGAACTGAGCCTGAAGCTGGTCTCAAAGGGTGGACAGCTTCTGAAAGGCAGGAGAGAGAACACAGAAAAGCAACAGTGGGTATGCATGCTGGTAGAGCGACAGGGGGCAGTTCAAGACATCATGGGAGTGGATTCTCTCCTCGGTCCTTAGTCTCACCTCATCCCTTTCCCCCTGTGCCTTTCTGCATGCTTGCCTGCCATCTGGCCCAGGGCAGCATTGAGAACAGGGCTCTACAGCCCAGAGACGGCTTGAAAACCTTCAGATGCATGTCTAAGGAGCCCAAGACCATACTGATGTATAACTGGGCAGATGACAAAGGTGACGTTCACTCAAGCATCCTTGACAGCCATATTCATATTCACACCTGTGACTCAAGATAGCTCATATTCAGAGTCAGCCCAAAACTTTGGTCAAACCATTATCCGGGAGCCACGGTCTCCTGAAGGTACAACCTGGGGTTTGAGGCTGGCCTTCGGGGCCCCACCAGCCATCCCAGTAGCAACCTCTGCTTGCCTCTGACACATAGACCATGGCTGCATGAGGCCCTGCTTTCATGCCCACCTTTTCTCCCAACCAACGAGAACACAGCATATGGCTGAGTTGTTTCAGCTGCAAATGACATACCATGCAGTAACGACACAGAGGTGGAAAGATCCAAGAGAGCTGGCTTACACCATGAAACGAAGGCTGTGATGGCAGATGGGGGGAGGGG